GCCGTCTGGTGGACTTTAGATGCATTAATTAGGAAATTATGCCTGGATAGACAGCTTACGGTATCAGATTTGGTGGATTTCAGACGTTGCAGTAGATCGAACTGGTAAGCTTGATTTAGATGTGGTTCAGCTCGCGTCGTACGGTGGGGACTCGTATCTAAGGTGGCGAGAACGTTGGCTGTACTAAAGCCTCTCTTGACTGTCGTGGGTTCGAATCCCACCAGTTAGGCTTAGGAGCAACGGAGACTGAACCCCCTTATTTTTCAGAAGTGAAGCATTCTTAACAGAGTAATTTTGGTGTGAGGATATTCACTCGATCGCTGGAGCGAAAATAATGTTCACTTGATTTTCCGGATACTTTTTTCTGAAGGAGAGAAACAGACTGACGTCGTGGACGTACAGAGGGGGAAATTTTTAAAAGCTGCAATTCCTATGCTATCATGCGCATGTTCATAATGATGAAGCCCGCATTAATTGCAGCTTTTCTTGATTCGTTTGAAGATTTCCCGAGAAAATATGTTTAAATTGTGACTGCTTATGATCTAGCTGTTTTTTGATTACTTACATCATCATTTTTTCTCAAAAATGACTTTGGCAATATTATGACTTTGGAAACTGAAATTTTTGTTAGAAGCGCGGTTTGCCTGGCAGGCTGAAGTCGACACAATTTTGAAATTTGCTGAGTGCCCCTTTCCAATTAATGCCAAACAGACCCCGATCTGTTCAGATTGACAAAGTTGAGAGATCCGGATTGATTATTTGAAGAATAAGAAGAAGATGGGTTCACCGGAACAGGTTTATTAAGATGCTGCCTTTCCGAAGAGCTTGATCGGCTCTCCCAAGTGGCGTCTCACGTTGGAGGCCGACCAACGTGACACCTCCACTTAATTTTCAGAATTGGCGTTTCCTGAACAGTGTTATTTTACTGTGAGGAAAATCACTCGATTACTAAGGCGAAAGTAATGCTCACTTGAGTTTTCAAGTTCATTTTCGAACAAGGAAAACAGCAGATTGAAGTTGGGGGTCGAACAGAGGGGGAAATATGCATAGTCTGAAATTCCTCTAAGATCACACTGCAAATACTCCCACTTCGTTTCATGATCTGTCGAGTAAATATGTCCAAATTTTGACTGACGGCGATCTACCCGTGTTTTAAGTAATAAAACAGCCTTTTGTTTTTACACCGACTCTGGCATTTCTGACATCGGTAACTGATATTTTTAATGGAAATGTGGATATCTAGCAAGGAAAAAGTCTACGTATGTCTGAAAGTCGGACCTAATTTTGACATTCCCTGAACGCACGTCTCCAATTAACACCAGACAAACCCCGACCTAGTCCGCATGTTTTTCAGCGCATCTGCCGCTTAAGCGGTTTTAGGCACACTGTCATTGTTCAGGTACGTACACGCTCAACGACTGCGCACGCCACTGACAACCTGCTGCCAAGGTCATCTAGGGGCGCCTCTACTCGCATTCAGCATTCGGCCATCTGGCGAAATCTGCCAGCTGCGTCATCCATCGAGCACGATCGATTTTCTTTCGTCAGGCGCGCAGGCCACCTCACGGTCCACGGCCCACAAACTCGAGGTGCGCCGCTGATAACTGACTGTCCACCTGGTACGCAACAAGAAGCAGGGTATTCTCACGAAGATAGTACCGATTCAGTTAATCGTATCTCTGGTTGCAGCCAAATCACTAACCAGGGTTATGTTAGAACATGCGTTTTCTCAAATACCCTTGACAACATTCATGTGAGCTTGTCGTGCTCGGTGAAATCTTTGTCAAGCATATGTGCCGAGACAGCCTAACCGCTAAATCTTTCTCAGAGGAAGTAACGGATCAGTTGCTGCTACGAAGACAGACAGCGCACATGCCGCCAACATCTTCCGTAGACCGACTACCAAGGAGGGTAAAGTTCCATGATATATCAGGTCATAGTCACTTATGCGGAATTCTCTCAATAGCGAAGCCCGAAAGTAACTCACACAACAGTATAACGCATTTCGTGGGGTGGGCTATATTTGCTTAAAAGAGTGGGACACTATTCAGACTTGGTGACATCTGTCCTAATTCATAGTGCCAGGTCCGCCATCCACGCGCTAACTGTTCCTGTAGCCTTTCGCCTCCGTAAGTTGTACGTTTGCCATTTATATTAACACAAGTTCTACGTTTTGCGATCTTACTAGTGTTGCTCACTACGTCAGCAAATGGGCACATCCTTCCCAAACATACCTCGAACACATCCCTCAGTCCTCGCAGAGATATGCTAGAGATTATTTTTCAGCCCATGTGTTGAACAATTTACACCGTTTCGGAGTTTTTTAAAATAAAAATGGGATGTCATGTTTTTTGCCCTGGGGACACCTGGCGGTGAGAACATCTCCAGAACTACGTCTAATTATTCTCAAGTATCATATCCGCTGGCGACAATGATTTCTCCCCTAAGCCATGCATTTGTTCGACAAAATGAGCATCTCGCTCGTAAAAAATAACTGATTCATTCATTTTATTCCTTTCAGAGATAAAAACGTTATTAATCGGTCGCCTTAGTTGTAGGGCAATCCACACCATTCAACGTTTTCAAAAAAACGTCAAAACAGGTTACATTGCAATTAGTTTATTTCTTAACATGCGGATCAAAGAAGGAACATCAAGAAACGCAGAAGTTTACATGCGAATGCTTGGAGCTCCAGCCATCATTCGAGCGACTCCAGTGGTTTCTTCGACAACGAGGTCCGAGATGTTAAGTCGTTGCTGATATCAGCTGATCCGCCTGGTGCTGTGAAAGTCTCCGCCCTGTATTCTGATCCATTCCAACAGCCTGCAATGTTTAAGTAATACCAATAACATTCTATTTTCATAAATATCAAAATATCATCTAGGGACGCCCCTGTCCGTATTCGGCCACATGCGGAATCTACGTCCACGGACTGCGATCGAATCTGCGTTCGTCGCGCATCAATCACAAACCAGGTGTCAGCCACAAGAAGAATCGCAGAAGAATAGGTGCACCGATTAGCATTAGAACTACAGATTAAAAGCGGAGGGGATCTCGATCTACACTGCAGTCCCACATGGAATTTTGCGTCATCCCTTGACGCCTCCTGACACACAAACACATGCCAGTTCGACCATCGGTTTCGATGATGTCCACCGTGTGCCTTACTGTTGCAGCAGCAGTGGGAGCAGGGACGGTGACTTGCGAAGCGGTTTATAGTGCCAGTATTCATGCGCTGCATCTACCTACACACCCTCGTCCTCCTTCGCCTGAGTCCGGTGTCAAGACAGAGTCAAGAAGACCGGAGACGAGGGAGGCCGCAGATGGATGGCTCGGACGGATCCTCACCTTGATGTTCCACCACACCGCCTGCTCCACACAACACATATCAAGTATTTTGACCAACACATCAGAAGTTGGATGCTGGCACGACCGAAGCCGCACCTGGGCGTGCCGCCAACGCCTGGCTCGAATCCCACACTGTGGTAGGAATGCCATAAAGGCCACATTAAAAAGGAGCCATTGCAGCCCGAACCTCAGACCTCCTCAATTCGAGGTGGAGGTCCAAGATATCCCGTCAGTTGGCAACCTTCCAAGCCACGGCTTTTAGCGCACCGTGATAGCTTCAAGCGCGTCAGATTGATTATAGTGAGGAGAAAGTGCGCTGAGTCGTCGACCTCACTCTCCCTTCCCATTTCCACACACCAGCCACCGTCCGAGCCGGTCAGCAGACTGGGGTGGGGAGTGGGCGCGGTGGCTGTCATGGTCGACGGACCATGACTGCGCGCGCCACGGCACGATCTGGCCCCCCATACACACAAACACCAGGATTTCACACAAAGGGGGTTGAACGGCGTGTCTCTCACGTGCGTGAGAGTGCCGTGGAAGGTGCTGTTGCAGCCCGTCCCCAGCCCACCAGTCCGCCACTACACACAACACACACACAACGTGACGAACTGCGTGAACCGAGGGCGGGCCTCAAACAACAACCTTCCTATCAACGACACTTGACGTGTCTGGATAGTCTCGGACACAAGTCACCCGTGCAGCCGAAGCCGCATGGGGACCGAGTCGAGATGCACACTTACCACTTGCGTTGGAGGCGGCAGTTGAGTGCATGAGGTGTGTGAGGGTTGATGTCTGGTGGGGTGATGGTGTTAGGAGGTAGGGAGTGAGGGAATGTGTGGTGTGACCGGCGGTTGTCTACCGCAGGTCATCGTGGATGCGCATGTGGCCGAATATTTGAAGCATTTTGTCCCCGGTACGAAGCTGAAGTAGGCAAGAACGGCAGGATTTATTGGCACCAAAAAGGACATACAATGCAGCCGAACTAGTATTCTGCAGTCCTACTAAGCCACTTCCGATTCCACGGGCAAAGGATGCCCTGCCAATGCACGCCACGTCAAATTGTGTTTATGAATTCACATGCACTTGCGGATGCAAGTACATTGGGCGAACGCAAAGGCAGTTGGCAGCCAGATCCATTGAGCACCTGCCCAAGTGGCTCCTTAGACAAGAAAATAAGATCCCACGTTCATCCATTACGAAACACCTACTTGATACTGGTCACACCGTCGACCCCAAAACTTCCTTCCGAGTACTTGTTCGGGCACGAACAACTCGGACATTGCGTTACCTGGAGGCAGCCTATATACGACGAGTGAAACCAGATCTTTGTAAACAGTTGGAGCACGTGGTTAACCTAGCATTACCATGGTAGCCTCTGGCTCCATGATTCCCCCTCTCTCCTCTCATTTTTGATCTTTAATGTTTCCTCCTTTTTTCACTTTCTTCCCCTACGGCGTTTGTGTTACTAACTTTATCGATTAGCCAACTTTGCCCAAAACCCTAACCTTGCGGTTTCTGCATCGATTTTCTGCATGAATTCAAATCTGTTGTATTGTTCTCACTCGTTATCCCTCTTATGAAGCGACAGGAAGCAGCTGAAGAGCAGTCGCGAATTTTTTTGGTGCCAATAAATCCTGCCGTTCTTGCCTACTTCAGCTGTGGCCGAATAGACCCATGCGATGCGTGAAGGTGCGAGTGCAGTGTGGGCAGTGGAGGCGAGTGCGGTGGGTGTAGGTTGGTGCTTCAGGCACTGGTTCGCCGGTCTCTGTGCGATGGATTCGCAAGTGGCCGACCAGGCCGATGCGTGAAGTGAAGGTGCGATTGCAGTGAGTGCAGGTGTAGTCCTGATCCTCATCACTGGAATCGGGAGAGGTGGGGGTGGTGGCGGTTATTGTGTCGGGGTTGGTTATGTGTGAGACGGCAGTCTGAACGGCCGCCGCTGGGGCAGTGGAGGAGAAGGAGGGGGATGGAAGTGGTGGTGCAGAAGGAGAGTCAGAGTTAGTTGGCGGCAGAGAGGACGAGGAAGAGGCGGGCGGGGGGACGATGGCTGGAGCAGTTCGAGAGGTGCAGTTGATCCGAAGATGTCCAACAAGTCCGATTCGTGCCCGGAATGTCCGTTGACATCGAGGACACGTAGGGAGCGGTTGTGCAGCAGCGTTACGTACTGGGCGAGATGGTGATTTGCGGGCTTAACGTTTCACTTTGGCGTCGGCGATTCGGTTGGCTTCGTGGATAGCAGAACCCGTCTTCACTGTTCTCCTCCATGTCGGGCGATCGCGAGCGAGCTCTTCCCAGTTGGTCGGGTTGATTTGCAGGTGCTTCAGGGAGGACTTCAGGGTATCCTTGTAGCGGCGAATTTGGCCTCCGTGACGACGAGAACCCGTCGCGACGTCTCCGTAGAAGAGTCGTTTGGGTAGTCGCTCGTCGTCCATGCGCACCAGGTCGCCGCTCCAGCGCAGCTGCATTTGTCTCAGCATGGCGTAGATGCTGAGCATTCCCGTTCGTTCCAGTACTTCTGCGTCGGGATTCGATCCTGCCAGTTCAGCCTCAGGATGCGACAAAGACAACTGAGGTAGAAGTGGTGCAGTCGACGTGCCTGCCTCGTGTACACCGTCCATGTCTCTGCTCCGTACAGTGACGTCGGCAGGATGACGGCCTTGTATATCTTCAGCGATGTGCTCATTTGGAGACCGTGGCGATTCGAGACTGTGGTTCGGAGGCGTCCGAAGGCTTGACTGGCTTTCGAGATCCTGTTGGCAACTTCGTCATCGATCTTTGTGTTGTGAGATAGGGTACATCCCAGGTACGGGAAGTTCTCTAACACTTGCAGTTGGGTCCCATTCACGTTGATGTGCGGCGCGTTGGGGGCTGTGGCTGATTTGGGCGGAGGTTGGTGCATCACCACCGTCTTCTGCGTATTAATGATCAGACCGAAGTTTCTTGCAGGTGGCGGAGAACAGATCCATGCTTCGTTGCATCTCCTCTTCCGAGGTGGTGTTCAGGGCGCAGTCGTCGGCAAAGTGAAGTTCATGCACGGTGGCAGTGGATACGCGCGATTGGAAGTTCATGCGCCGGTGATTCAGCGGGTGACCGTCCGTCCTGAAAGCGATGCGGATTCCAGGGCGTTCGTCGCGGTAGGCGTCCATCAGCATGGCAGCGAACATAAGACTGAAGAGGGTAGGCGCCAGCACACAGCCCTGCTTCACTCCGTTGGTCACTGCGAATGCCTCTGAGACAGCTCCGTTGTCCGTGACTCGCGCCATCATACCGTCGTGCAGCTGACGCACCATCTGAGTGAATCGCTCCGGACAGCCGAATTTCTGCATGATCTTCCACAGTCCTTTACGATTCACCGTGTAGAAGGCTTTCGTCAGGTCCACGAAGGTAGGCAATTTGAGAATATGCAGTGGTTGTACCTTCAGTTGTGGCAGATCACTGATATGTCAGATAAATTCTCCGCGAGCTGGTTGCAAACCTGTAGATATGAATTTCCTCTTACGAATGTTGCACTCATTGCATTAGGGCTCCTGTCCTCATTATTCGCAAACCAAGTGACAGACGCGAGCAGATCACGCCACTCTGGGTGCAACGATTTGTACTTAAATCTGCTGATCCGATGCGGAGGGAGGGAGGGAGCTGGCTGGGTGGGGTTTCGTATGTGCAGATAGCAGGCGCGCTCGTGTTGCGTGCTATCAGGGTGAGACATCGATTCCCGTAAAAAAAGAGGAAGACGCACTCTCTACTCGATCTACTCTTCAGTCCCACAGCGACTGTCGCCCTGAATTACGCTAGCCCTTCGCCTTAGCTAAATGTAGCCACAGGTGATCTAGATGGTTGTGTGGAATCGCTGTCTTTCCAATGCTGTTTGTTACAGTAAGTCTGCTGTAGAGCGTGCTGTCGATCAGAGTTAGGCAAACACCGGGCAAAACGCACTGCTAGAAAACTGCACAAACTTCTATGAAGTACAGGCGTCTGGTTTAAACTTAAAATCATAAAGGCTCCTGCCTCCGACGAAATCGCCGACATTCTGACAGGGTGAGTCCGCTCACTCTGGCAGCCTGGAATGTTCGTTCCCTTTTAGACAATCCGAGGAGCAACCGACCGGAACGGAGGACGGCGCTAGTGGCCCGGGAACTGGCGCGCTACAAGGTGGACATCGCCGCACTCAGCGAGGCCCGATTCTCCGAACTAGGCCAACGGGAGGTTGTGAGGGCCGACTACATCTTCTTCTGGAGTGGCCGAACCAGGACAGAGCGACGAGACGCGGGTGTCGTCCTCGCCATCCGGAACGACATCGTGGGACGACTGCCCAGTCTGCCGCAGGGAATCTACGATCGCCTGATGAGCCTCCGTCTGCCTCTCAGGCAGGCGTGGGGGCGAATTCGCCACCATCGTCAGCGCCTACGCTCCGCCGATGAGCAGCCCCGACGCCGCCGCAAGGGAAAAATTCTACGAGGACCTGCACGCCCTCTTGGCGACTGTGTCGAAGACGGACAAGCTGATTGTCTTTGGCGACTTCAACACCCGCGTCGGCACAGACCATACTGCCTAGAGAGGAGTGCTGGGTCCCCACGGTCTCCGCGGCTCCAACGACAATGGTCCACTACTGCTCCGCACCTGCGCAGGACACTGCCTCATCCTGACGAACACGTTCTTCTGTCTGTCGGAGCGAGAGAAGGCCACCTGGAGGCATCCTCGGTCCCGTCAGTGGCACCTGCTGGACTACGTCCTCGTCCGGAGGCGAGATGGCGATCGTGGGTGCTGACGGGTGGACCGACAATGGCCTCGTAATCTCGAAAATGCGTATTCGTTTACAGCCTCGCAGGAGACCACAAGGTAAGCTGAATGTTGCCTTGTTGTCTTTGCCCGCTCACAATCTTCATTTCAGCATTGAGCAAGCTCAACGGCTACGCAAAATTCCCATCGCCGATGCAGCCGACGACGAGGCAACCATTGCAGAGAACGCCTCCGTGGATAACCGCTCGTGTCAACTACGAAACACGGTCCAGGCGACGACGCTCGCCGTCCTTGGGTCTCGCTCCCCGTCAACGCCAGGACTGGTTCGACGACAACGACGCCGCCATCAGAAATCTGCTTGCTGAGAAAAACCGCCTACACAAAGCCTACGTAGGCCACCCCACTGATGACAACAAAGCTGCTTTCTCCCGCAGACGCCGCCAGCTTCAGCAACGACGGCGCGAGATGCAGGACGCCTGGACTGCTCGCAAAGCTGATGAGATTCAAGGCTACGGGGACCGCAGCGAATGGAAGAACTTCTTCTCTGCGATCAAAGCTGTCTACGGTCCGCCGACGAAGGGCACTGCTCCTCTCCTCAGCGCCGACGGCAACACTCTCCTGACTGAATAGACGCCAATCCTACAGCGATGGGCGAGCATATCCGAGGCATCCTCAACCGCCCCTCCGTCATCTCCGACGCCGCCATCGAGCGTTTGCCGCAAGTGGAGACCAACATCGTCCTCGACCTCCCGCCATCTCTCCGGGAAACCATCAGGGCCGTGCAGCAGCTCTCCAGCGGGAAAGCACCCGGATCGGACGCAATCCCTGCTGAGGTCTTCAAGCACGGAGGTCCCCGACTCATGGACCACCTGACTGCGATCTTCCAGGAGCTGTGGCGTAAAGATGAAGTCCCGCAAGATTTCAAGGACGCAACTATCGTGCACCTTTACAAGCGAAAAGGGAATCGCCAAGTCTGCGACAATCACGCCGCATCTTCATGCTGAAAATTGCCGAGAAGATCTTCGCTCCCATCCTCCTCAATCGTCTGAATAATCATCTGGAACAGGGGCTTCTACCGGAAAGCCAATTCGGCTTCCGTTGTCATCGCGTGACCACAGACATGATCTTCGCCGCTCGTCAACTTTATGAGAAGAGCCAGGAGATGCGGACCCACCTGTACTCTACCTTCGTGGACCTGACGAAAGCCTTCGACACGGTGAATCGTGAAGGACTGTGGAAGATCATGCAGAAATAAGGCTGTCCGTAGCGATCCATTGAGATGGTGCATCAGCTGCAGGACGGTATGATGGCGCGAGTCACGGACAACGGAGCTGTCTCAGAGACATTCGTAGTGGCCAACGGTGTGAAGAAGTAATGCGTGCTGGCACCTACCCTCTTCAGTCTTATGTTCTCTGCCATGCTGATGGACCCCGATCGTGTTGAGCACCCCGGGATCCGCATTGCCTACAGGACGGACAGTCACCTCCTGAATCAACGGCGGATGCACTTCCAATCGCGCGTATCCACAACCACCGTTCACGAACTTCTCATCGCCGACGACTACGCCCTGAACACCACATCGGAAGTGGAGATGCCACGGAGCAAGGACCTGTTCTCTGCCGCCTGCGAGAACTTTGGGCTGGTCATTAACATGCAGAAGACTGTGGTGATGCATCAACCGGCACCCAATTCAGCCACAGCCCACAACGCGTCGCCGCAAATCAGCGTGAATGGAACCCAATTGCAGGCGGTGGAGAACTTCCCGTACTTGGACAGCACCCTCTCCCGCAACACCATGATAGATGACGAAGTCGCCAACAGGATCTCGAAAGCCAGTGAAGCCTTCGGTCACCTCAAAAGCACAGTTTGGAATCGTCATGGCCTCCATCTGAGTACGAGGCTAAAAATGTACAAGGCCGTCATCCTGCCGACGCTTCTGTATGGAGCGGAGACCTGGACGGTGTACACGAGGCAGGCACGCCTACTGGACCACTTCCACCTCAGTAGTCTCCGTCGCATCCTGTGGCTGCACTGACAGGATCGAATCTCCGACACAGATATGCTGGAACGATCGGAAATGCTCAGCATTTACTCCATGCTGAGACAAATGCGGCTGCGCTGGAGCGGCCATCTGGTGCGCATGGACGACGAGCGACTACCCAAACGACTCCTCTACGGAGACGTTGCGATGGGTTCTCGCCGCCAAGGTGGTCGAATTCTTCGATACAACGACACTCTGAAGTCCACCCTGAAGCGCCTGCAAATCAACCCGACCAACTGGGAAGAGCTCACCCTCTACCGACCGACATGGAGGAGGACACTGAAGACAGCCGCTGCGATCTATGAGGCCAATTGAATCGCCGCTGCCAAAGTGAAACGAGAGCACGCAAATCACAGCCACCCCACGTCCGCAACGCCGACGCACAACCGCTTTCAACGTGTCCCCGGTGTCAACGGACATTCCGGGCAGAAATTGAACTCATTGTACACCTAGGGATCAACTGCGAATCTCGGACCGCACCAACCACCGTCCCTCCGCCCGCCTTTTTCTCGTCCC